ACACACACACCATTACAGCTGCGCGCAAGGGTTGCGGGAGGGAGGGGGGCAGGCCAAGAAGCCAAGCCCTGGCATGCAGGCGATTCCATAGGCCATCAAGGATTTCTGAAGGATCCTGCTTGCACATCGGCGGCGCTACACGAGGGCAAACCTCTGGGCGCCAGCTGGCCTGCAGAGCCTGCATCCAAGCAGGGTCCACTCCTCTTCAAACGTTGCCCGTCCCGTGAGAGCGTAGAGGGGGGGTGTCCTTCCACCCTCTGTGTGGATGATTCTAGACTACACAACAAGCATCTCCAGGGCAATGAGGGGTGGGGGTGGGGGGAGGGAGAGAAAACCAGGTCTACTCTGCAAGGGAGCAGGCTCCCCCCTCCCCCCAAGCCAACTGACCGCATCTTGCAATCCATCTTCAAAACGAAACACAGGATTATTTCAAGACCGAGCGGGGCCAGAGAAACAATTTGCATAATGTAAAATAAATCCATAGTTGTAATCAGAAAGCTGCATGCTTTAAATCCTTGGCCATTTCTATTAATCTCAGGAGCCCCATATAGGCTGGAGGACACAGCCCTTCAACCAAGTCGCTGGGACTTTTTAAATCCAAGGGTATTAGCAGGAAAGGGGGTGGGCCACAAGGCCGCTTCTTCCCTCTGGCAGCAGCCAGGGCTGGGCAGAGCGGTCTCCCAGAGGGGGGGGGCGCAGGGGGTCTCTCTTTGGCTGCCCCCTGGGGCAACGGTGGGGTCTGGAGCTGACCCGCACGGCCCTTTTGCTCCACGCGCCCAGGTCCTGGCAGAAGCCTCTTGTGTGGCCCTTCTGGTCCTCTTATTGGGGCTCTGTGTGTTTGGGTGTGTGTGTGTGCGTGCGTGCATGTGTGCGTGCGCGTGCGCGTGCGCTCTGTGGCCAGCCTAGCAGGAGGGCGCATGTCTAGGGCAGGATGGACGGGGAGGGTGGGCCATCCAGAGCTTCTTCCTCAACCTGCTGCATCAAGAGTCCTTATGGGGTCAGTGGGAGCCCCTCTTCTGACCCCTGGGGCCCACAGCATCCACACAGGCACAGAGTCAGACGGCCTGGCCCTCTCTGCCCAGTGGGGTGGGGTGGGGGCTGGATTCGTTGCCAGAGGCAGTGCTAAAAGATCAGGATTGGCCCATTGGAATGTTTTGGCAAGCAACCCCTGTTTGTGTTATCTGCGCTAATTAACATTTCTTTGCTGATTT